TGGAGAAAGCCCCAAAGCCTGAATGCTCCCTTTTACTGCACTTTGTGTTTCAGATATGTTTCCAAGGACTGTGGTTATTCTTCAGACCTTAATGTTTGGGTGGTAGCAGTTAGTGGCTGTGTGCTTTTTGTTTCTTTGATAATTTATATTCATATGTTTATGTGGTAGAAATGGAGTCCCCAGTTGCCAGAAACAACACTGGCATCATTATCTATAGACCTGGGTGTAAATTGAGTCCCAGAACTACCAGTTTTTAGAAACCCCAGAATGAGGGTTCTGATTGCTCATACTGGAACAACGTGTGAATATATAGTAGCCGTAGGCTACCAACAAGACATTGAATGGAAATTAGTATTTTTTAAAGGTGTATTTTTTTTAATTTTACATACGTGAACATTTTGCTTGCATATATACTAAATTCATTGAATATGTTCCTGGTGCTCATTGGGACCAGAAGAGGGTGTCAAGAAGAGTTACAAATGGTTGTAAGCTACCATGTGGATGTGGGGAACCAAATCCAGATCTCCTGCAAGATACAATCTTCAGGAAATGCCCCTGACCACTGAACCATCTCTTCAGCCTATTGAGGATGGCATTTTGTTGTTCTTTTATTTTATTTTTCCATAGTGCTACATGTTGAGCCTAGGGCTCCTTTCATAATAGTCAAGAGTTGTGCCAATGAGCTTTACCCCAGACTTATTTTACTTTATTAAATGTCATCAAAAAAAAAAAAAAAAAAACAACCCAACACCCATTCATGTTTAAAGTCTTGGAGAGATCAGGAATACAAGGCACATATCTAAACATAGTAAAGGCAATATACAGCAAGCCTATAGCCAACATCAAACTCAATGGAGAGAAACTTAAATCAATCCCACTGAAATCAGGGACAAGACAAGGCTTCCCACTCTCTCCCTACCTCTTCAATATAGTACTTGAAGTCCTAGCCAGAGAAATAAGACAACTAAAGGAGATCAAGGGGATACAAATCGGAAAGGAAGAGGTCAAAGTGTCACTATTCGCAGATGATATGATAGTATATATGAATGACCCCAAAAATTCAACTAGAGAACTCCTTCAGCTGATAAACACCTTCAGCAAAGTGGCAGGATACAAAATCAACTCAAAAAAATTAGAAGCCCTCCTGTATACCAAAGACAAAAGGGCCGAGAAAGAAATTAGGGAAACAACACCCTTCACAATAGCCACTAATAACATAAAGTACCTTGGTGTGACTCTAACCAAGCAAGTGAAAGTCCTGTTTGAGAAAAGCTTCAAGTCTTTGAAGAAAGAAATTGAAGGAGATCTCAGAAGATGGAAAGATCTCCCGTGCTCATGGATTGGTAGGATTAACATTGTGAAAATGGCCATCCTGCCAAAAGCAATCTACAGATTCAATGCAATTCCCATCAAAATACCAACTCAATTCTTTACAGACCTTGAAAAAAAGATTCTCAGCTTCATATGGAGAAACAAAAAACCCAGAATCTCCAAAACGATCCTGTACAACAACAGATCATCTGGAGGTATCTCCATTCCCGATCTCAAGCTGTACTACAGGGCAACAGTAATAAAAACTGCATGGTATTGGCATAGAAACAGAAAGGAGGATCAATGGAACCGCATAGAAGACCCAGAAATAAACCCACACACCTATGAATACTCAATATTTGACAAAGAAGCCAAATCCATTCAATGGAAAAAAGACAGCATCTTCAACAAATGGTGCTGGACCAACTGGATGTCTACATGCAGAAAAATGAAAGTAGATCCATATTTATCACCCTGCACAAAACTAAAGTCCAAGTGGATCAAGGACCTCAACATAAAACCAGATACTCTAAATCAGTTGGAAAAAAAAGTGGGGAACAGCCTAGAACTCCTTGGCACAGGAGACAACTTCCTGAACAGAACACCAACAGCACAGGCTCTAAGAGCAACAATCAATAAATGGGACCTCATGAAACTGAAAAGCTTCTGTAAAGCAAAAGACACTGTCATCAAAACAAATAGACAGCCTACAGATTGGGAAAGAATCTTCACCAACCCTTTATCTGACAGAGGGCTAATATCCAGTATATATAAAGAACTAAAGAAGCAGAAAAGCAACAAACCAAGTAATCCACTTAAAAAATGGGGAACAGAGCTAAACAGAGAATTCTCGAAATAGGAACATCGAATGGCAGAGAAACACTTAAAGAAATGCTCAACCTCATTAGCCATTAGGGAAATGCAAATCAAAACGACCCTGAGATTTCACCTTACACCCATCAGAATGGCCAAGATGAAAAACTCAAGTGATAGCACATGCTGGAGAGGTTGTGGAGAAAAGGGAACCCTCCTCCACTGCTGGTGGGAATGTAAACTGGTACAACCACTCTGGAAATCTATCTGGCGCTTTCTAAGACAATTAGGAATAGTGCTTCCTCAAGACCCAGCTATACCACTGCTAGGTATATACCCAAAGTTTGCTCAAGTACACAAAAGGGATATTTGCTCAACCATGTTTATAGCAGCTTTATTTGTAATAGCCAGAACCTGGAAACAACCCAGATGTCCATCAACGGAGGAATGGGTACAGAAATTGTGGTAGTTTTACACAATGGAATACTACTCAGCAATCAAAAAGGAGGAAATCATGAAATTTGCAGGCAAATGGTGGGATCTAGAAAAGATCATCCTGAGTGAAATATCCCAGAAGGAGAAAGACAAACACGGTATATACTCACTTATATAGACCTATTAGATGTGATAAACATAATGAAATCTGTACACCTAAAAAAGATAATCAAGAGAGCGGACATGGGGTAAGATTATCAATCCTCGTTTAGAAAGACAGATGGGATGTGCATTGAATGTATGACAGGAGTCTACTGAGGGCATTTGAAAGACTCTAACTAGCAGTGTTTTCAAAGCAAAGACTCATGACCAAACCTTTGGCAGAGTACAGGGAATCATAAGAAAGAAGGGGAGTTAGTCTGATGAGGAAAGGATAGGAGCTCCACAAGGACCAAATATAACTGGGCACAGGGGTCTTTTCTGAGACTGACATTCAACCAAGGACCATGTATGGATATAACCTAGAACCTCTGCTCAGATGTAGCCTGTGGTAGCTCAGTAACCAATTGGTTTCCCATAGTGAGGGGAACAAGGACTATTTCTAACAGGAACTCAATGACTGGCTCTTTGGCCTCCCCACTCCCCAAGGGAGGAGCAGTCCTGTTAGGCCTCAGAGGAGAGCTTTGCAGCCAGTCCTGAAGATACCTGATAAAACAGGATCAGATGAATGGGGAGGAGGTCCCCCCTATCAGTGGACTTGGAAAGGGGCAGGGTGGAGATGAGGGAGGGAGGGAGGGACTGGGAGGGAATGAGGGATCGGGACACGCTGGGATACAGAGTTAATAAAATGTAACTGATAAGAAAAAAATAAAATTAAAAAAAAAGGACAACCTCGAACCAAAGAATGCAACAGAAAATTATACCAGATATTCAAAGAATAACATACCAGTGCATCTTAAACTCTTTAACATCAGCAACAAATGAACATCTCCAAGCTCAACATCTTCAAACCATAGGCTGCCACCAGCCTCTGGTCCCTCCCATCCAATATCCTAGGGACACAGGTAGCAACTTCATGAGAAATATTGTTGTACTGCTTAGCACATGTTGTTACTGTCCTCTTAGAAAGAAGATGGGAAGCATTGTCCTGGAGATACTCTTGAGTGTTTCTTTGGACCAATCAAAATGTTCTGGGTATATATGAATGCAAAGTAGGGGATTTGGGAGATTCTTTTGACATTGCATTTACTCAGAGCAAAGGAGGGAAGGACAAGGACATCCGCTCACTGCTGGGTTTTCTCTAAACTGGGACTAGATTTTATTTATTTTAAAAATTTTCAAATAAACGACCTAGTAATGACCAGTAAGTGATCTGTAATATTTTCTCAATTCAACATGTACTTTTACACATTCTCCCTTATTTCTTAACTGTGTATATGAGTTTTTTATTATAGTGCAGTCAATTCTTATATATATATGGTGATAGGAGATTTTTAAAATCATGAATAGATACAGGATTTTGTAAAGTATTTTTAGAATGAATTGAGATATATTTGTGCATGTTTATGGTTCATTTTGATGGTATGATACATCACATTCTTTATTTATCACATTATTTATTATTTATTGAACCAGGCTTGAATTAAAGGAATAGATCCCACTTGTTCATGTAATATACTCATTTTTAATGTACTGTTAAATTGCATTTGTTACTATTTTTATTGAAGTTTTTTTATCCCTGTGTTTTCATCCCTGGTGTTGTAGTTTGGAGGTGTTCATTGTTGCTGTTGTTGAAGAGTTTAAGAAGCACTGATGTGTTATTCTTTGGATATTTAGTATAATTTTCCATTGCACCATTTTGTTTTAGATTTTCCTCTTAGATGAGCTTTAATTACTGATTCAGTCTGTTTATTTGTTATAGTATGTTCAAGATTCCCATTTTTTTTAAATTTGGAGTTGGAAGAGACTGTCAGTTTCTGCTGAATAATATCTATTTTTTTGGCTTGTTGATCATCCAAGTGCCTATCAATTCTTCAACTTAAAATTTTGTCCTTTGATACTTTACACTTACAAATAACTGAAAAGTTAGTGCTATGGAACCATACGTTGTGTAGGTTTTGCTTATAGAATTTAGATTGTTAACCTAGGATATGCATGGATTTAACCAGAAATAGAACTCATGTTTGTATTATGATGATTTTGATGGGCTACTAACATGTAATTTTAGTTAGCATTGAAACTGTTAACATGGCATTACAGAATTGTGCATAAGAACTTGGTTTTTAAATTGCTACTACTTTCTTCTCCCTCCATCTTTTTTTTCCCCACAAGAGTTTAGGCTTTTTCACACGTCCAGATGTCCATTTGTTCAGCTTGCTCATCTAGACAGAAGGGAACCTACAGACAGTCCTGATAATGATGCTTTGTTTTCTCCTTTCCAGCCATGCAATGATGGACCTTCTGGTTGAACTCTGCCTTGAGAACCATCTGAATCCTTCTCACCATGTCCTGGAGATCTGGTCTTCTGAGACCCAACAGCCTTTGAGTTTTAAGCCAAACACTTTGATTGGGTCCTTGAATGTACACACTGTACTTCTGAAAGAAAAAGTCCCCGAAGAGAAAGTTAAACCTGGCCTAACGAAGGTGCCTGAGGTCAGTGGTGCCTGCGTTCTGTCTGGGGATATACAGAGATAATAGATTTGTGTGTGAGTACACAGGAGTGCTAGAGAGGCCTGGGTTGCTTTGTTTGGGTACCTAGCACAGCGCTCTGTTGAGATTCCTTCATCTATGCCAGGTGAAGTTAGGTACTTACTAGGTTTGCTACAGGAGATAGAACTTCCGAGATTTATTAGTGTTTATTGTTGTAATACCAGTTCTTTTCTGTATTATGCAGATGGAATTGTTGTAGGGAAAGTTGTCCATCAGAACACCTGGAAGATGGAAATGTTCTTCAATCTGCATTTCCTAGTATGATAAATCACAGGTCCCATGTAGCACCTGAGCACTTGAATGTTGCTACTATGGTAAAAATAAAAATTGGAGTTTTCAGTTTTATTAATTTTACTTATTAACTAGTAACTTCTATCTTGACACACATATTTCTGGATTTCTGACCCTATGAGACACAGCTCCATAAAACAGTTTACCGTCTTAGAGACGAGAGATAGGCCCTTTGAAAAATTGTTTTAATTTCTGTTTTTGCTATTTGTTTTCTTTTGGTTCTCAAAGAGGAGAGAGACAGAGACAGAGAGACCTAGAGACAGAGATAGAGACAGAGAGACAGAGGGAGAGACAGAGAGGATGAATTTGGGTGCGGGGTAGAAAGAAGAAAGGACCTGAGAGGAGTGGGGAAAGAATATGATCAAAATATATTATTTAAATTTTAAATGTTTAAGGAATATTTAGACTGTTGTATTCAGGAAATATCTTAGTTGTCATTTTGTTGCAGCCATAAGTTACCAAATAAAACTAATTTTAAATTCTTATAGTGCTTTGTAATATGGTCTTCAGGCTCTAATTAAAGCAGTACTACCTGAATCAGATTTTCGGAAAATATGCTCAATATTTTTGCTTTCAAAACTGGCAGTAAGGCCAGTAATTACTTCCAGTGAATGTCTAGCTTTTGGTGATTAATAAAATATAATTGGTACCTTCCCACCCTAAGAATGTAGGAGACTCTCATTGTATTTCAGACAAAAGTCCTTTCATGGAGAAGGGACCTCTTCACATCCTATGGCTTCTCTTAACTGCCTGGGCTCCAGGGAGAGTTACGCCCAGGCTGTGTGCACAGTTCCTCTCGGAGAATCCCACGCTGGAGCGGTGCCTCAGTATTCCTCCTAAATTCCAGCTCATTAAGTCCACTAAGCCTGCTACTCAGAGTCTCAAAGGACCACGGCATTCATCTGTCACTTCACACACGCTATCTTGACCTTTGCAAACTCTTTGTACCCTGTGGAGAGCAGCGAGGGTGACCTGAAGTAGTCTGCAGGAAGCCTTGACTCCTACAAGTTTTTGATAAGCTACTTAGAGCCGCTGTCGGTAGTTATGATCATCCAATTTAGAGAGGTTGTTTTTCTTTCTGATTGTTCTGTCAGGTATTTGAAAAATATTACATGTATTTCTTGTTAATATATATATAGTGCATATGTATATATATATATATACACATACATATGTGTGGATCTGTATCCACACATATGTCTGTGTTCATACCTTATATGTACTTTTAATATATATATATAATACCTTTAAGATATATATTTATATATTTATGTGGATATTTTGACTTCTTTAGCAAGCATTTTTCTTTTACAAGACTGATTCTAAAACTATTCATACCCTTTGCAAACAGAATTCCTTTAGGAAAAAGTATATGTATGTTTTGTGCCTAAGTCTTAGCAGAATCTGTGAAAGGCTGTATACATACAGAGTCTAAATTTAGGTGCCTCACGGATGTCAGTTTTTCCTGTTATTTAGCAGTTGCTAATTAATAAGAAAGATTCTAACAAACAACTAATATTCTGTATATTTATTTTTCAGTATGCATTATGCTATTTTTCCAGGACCCATGACTTTGTGGAAGAATGATCAGGGGCTGGAAAAATCCTGCTGTACTTAATCCTAGAATTAAAACAGAAATTGAAGCAGTTGCGGGAAGATGCACTCATAGAATTCATGTCTGGTGTGTTCTTGCAGAAGTCTGTGCGACTGGTAGTGAACTACCTGCGAACACAGAAAGCTGTCGTGCGTGTGAGTCCTGAGGTGCCACTGCAAAACATTCTTCCAGTCATCTGCGCAAAGTGTGAGGTCAGCCCAGATCACATAGTTCTGCTCAGGGACAACATTGCCGGGGAGGAGCTGGAGCTGTCCAAGTCCCTGAATGAACTGGGCATAAAGGAGCTGTATGCGTGGGACAATAGAAGAGGTGAGGCTCGCTACATTGTACATACCCTGATGCCTAGTGACTCATGAGGTATGCACACAAAACCTATATTCTCTCCTTGATGCTCTCAGTACCACCCAGAGATGGGGATGGGAAGCTTCAGGCACCTGGGACTTTGTCCAGTGGTGAAGTATGCCAAAGAAGAATTTGGCTTGGTACCATACCCTGTGATGCTAAGTATGCCTCTCTCCTCCCACTTCTGCAAATGGCTTTGGCCTCTGTCTTCCTCTGAGCTCTGACAAGTAACAGAAAAAAAAAATGGTGAGAAGAGAGTACACCCTTTCCTGTTCCTACTCAGAGACTACTTAGAATTCTGCTGGAGTTTTAGTTCAGTTGTCATTGCTCCCACACTGTAGTCACTGCTTGTATCCACCGCTTATTTCCAGAAGCACATCGACCATCCTCGGAAACTGATCAGTTCTGGTTCCTGGGATCAGTCTTACAGACAGATTTTACACTAGTCTATTGCCAAAGCTGTACCTATGGTGTGAGTGTGGTACATTGTGACACGATCATTAGAGCCATCAATGAATGACAGCCCCTGTGTGATGTTGTTATAGAGCAATAGACTATGCAATCAGATTTTTCTGATTGACATGATGGCTTCAATTTTTAGTTAAATAACTGTCAAACAAAAACATAATTTACAGCCCTTGACTTTCTAGTTTTAAGATGGACTTCCAAGTGTGCTGCCCTTTAAGGTGGCATGGATGTTGCCATTATGAAGCCAGAGCAGCCATGGTTACCTGCAGGGGAACCTTTACAAAACAGGGCTGACTAACACTACTGCTGCCTACGTTATTACTTATTTATTCTCCAGATAAATTGGCCTTTGGAAAAATGCTGTTTGTCTTTTATATGTTCTTCTATGGCCTTTAAGATATAGGTTCTTAGATAATTTCTTCTAAAAATTTGTTTTTTATTAGAAAATATATTGTGAAAACAAGAGTCCTATGTATATTTCCTATGGGTCCATACTTTGCCACGTCTCAACCCTCCCTTTCCCAGAGACTCTCAGTTTATCTCCTCATTTGACATAGAAGAAAAGGTTTTAGTGCAGGAAGTATAAGGTACATGGAGTCGTTAGTCTCCTGAAGAGTGCTCTGACACTTAAAATATTGCATCTAGTCAAGTTTTATTGCTGCTGATGCTGTGGTACTTGAGATTGAACTCAGGGCAGCGTGCATGATCTCCCAACCAGTATCTTTTAAAAACATAGACAATAGTACTCCCAGCATCGGTGGCACAGACGAGGTTGCTGTGAGTGTGTTTGTCTGTTTATGTTTAAACGTGGACTATTGGACATTTGGGGGCGTGCTGTTTTCTTTTGTAATATAAAAGGAAAAGAAAATGTCTCCTAGAAAGAAAGAAAGAAAGAAAGAAAGAAAGAAAGAAAGAAAGAAAGAAAGAAAGAAAGAAAGAAA